AAGCAATAAAGCTGGGTTGCCTCCCAACAAGCGCTTGATTTAACGTCGCGGTACGACGCGAATCACTTTTTGCCTCCACCTCGAGCTTATGAATTGAATCCCCAATTTGGCATCAAGTTTTAGGCTATGCTCCAGGGGTGGAGGAACAAATTTAATTGGCCCAAGTACCCATTGTACTATTCTATACTTCTTGGCTTTTAGATGAGGTATGTAGTCCTGTCTTTCTGGCAAGAAAAATTCCAGAATGTAGGCACCTTGTTCCTCATTCCTTGACTTCTCAATCGGCTCGGATGACTCTATTTTCATATCGTCATCCAAGCACAATGTAGAAAAATGTTTGGAGTGAGGACCAATGCGCTCACACACATGAACTTCAGGACTTTCAGCATCCTCAACATCAAAGATACTAGAGTCAACAATATTTGTATCCTCAATGTCCTTAGCTGACTCTAGTCTCACTTCTTCAACATTGACATCGTCAAATTGTAGTTGGCTAGGTTGTTGATGTTCTACTCTGACCTCCCCAATTAACACCTCAAATTCATGCTCTTGTTGGCTACTATCATCAATATTGGCTTGTTGAGCATTAAAAGCTCCAACCACTTGACTCACTTGAGCCTCCAACTTGAGAATAGTTGCCTTTTGCCTTTCTATCTGCAATTGTTTTTCATTATTTTGTTTCAAAAGACACTTTAACATATCCTTGATCTCCTTCAGGTCTGCATCCCCAGGTACTTTGTTCCTATTAACTTCACAAGAAAAGGTAGAACCATCATAGTAAGGGGTTGGGGGAAGATAAGAAATATAAGCATAACCATTAAAGTGATCACTTTTTCCACCACACACATCACACACATTCCACAAATCAGATTGAGTTGGTGCACATAACTCGCTCTCGGGAATATTTCGATAATTTTGATACGGATGATTTTCTTCACAATATGTATGAGGATCAATAGTAGAATTATCTACACCTAAATTCCCATAATTCCAAGCTGTCATGTTTCTCAAATCAACAGTTATAAAAAAAATACAAAAAAGAACAAAACAAAATAAAAGTTAAAACTTGAACCCTAGCAATATATACAGCTACGACTACACCGTTAGTTCCCCGGCAACGGCCCCAAAATTTGGTCACACCCAACTCTAGTCCTAAAAAGGATAAGTGGTCGCTACAAATATAATCCAATCTAAAAGTCCGGAGTTGAATCCCACAGAGAATTAAGGCTTAGCTATATCTGTTTAATATCACTAAAAAGACAAGTTTGAACAATTTTCTAAATTATAAAGATTGAGATTTATATTTCTAACTAATTAACTAGCAAATACTAGAAAGCGGTAAAATTATCAACTAACGAGACAAAGGGTTGGGGACTAAATTAAGGAGTTCTAGAGTTATGATTTCCCCAATTGTCGAAATCCTTCTAGCTATTTTCCCTGCAATTTTTCCAGTGTATTCTCTACTGATCGTGAGCACTTTAGGTGCCGTAATTCTCTCTCGAGCAACTACAATAATTTACTAGACATATTCTCTCGAACTACGCTAGTTGGCTTTATCTGACCGCTCATTTTGACCACGTCAAGGCTTTGTTATTTCTAAACCTGCCTTTAAACCCATTGTATTGATTTCTCACATACGTTAGGAGTGACGTTGTTCAACAACCACCTAAATATGTATCCTTTCTCAAGAAACACATAATAAATAAGCACAGACAATCGATGGACATTCAATCAACAACAATAAATACGTAGTTGAACAAGTAGAGAAATCCAATGGCTCAATTATATAAAAACATAACAAGAATTTATCCTACAAAAGGTTCTATCAAAGCCCTAGATAACAAATTAGCTATACATAATAGTATGTAAAACTACAATACTAAAAGCCATAATCAACAATGAAAAATAGGAAGAGGAAGGAAAAACTCGTAGAAGAATTCCCCGCCTTGCTCCTATTGTCTCTCTGCCTCCTTAGGTCGAATCTGTGTTAAAAATTGGTCTCCTCCCCTCAAAATACCGTTTTTCCATGTATATATACCAAGTAGGGTGTGACGACCCAACCCGTCATCTCATGTATTACAGCCCCTTTTTCCCCCATTTATTGCTCTTTCATGTTTTATTATCTGCAACGGGTGAGTTAGAGTTGAATTGAATTGGTTTGGATAGGAAATGAGACACTTAGTCTCTTTAAGGAAGGTTTGGTTTGGAAAAGTCAACCGAACGTTGACTTATTAGTTAGAAGGCTCGGATGTGAATTCCGGTGATTCGGGAGGTGATTTGTGACTTAGGAGTGCGATCGGAAGTGATTTTGGAGGTCCGGAGTAGAATTAGGCTTGAATTGACAAAGTTGGCATTTTGGCGAATTCCGGTGGATAGGTGAGATTTTGATCCGAGTGTCGGAGTGGAATTCCGAGAGTTGCAATAGCTCCGTTAAGTGATTTTGGATATGTGTGCAAAATTTCAGGTCATTCGGAAGTGTTTTGGTCGGGTTTTTGATCGAGTGCATAATTCGGAAGTTTTTAAGAAACTTAGGCTTGAATTCGATGTGATTTGATGGTTTTAGCGTTGTTTGATGTGTTTTGAGGATGAGAACAAGTTTGAATGAGGTCTTAGGATGTATTGGTGTTTTTGGTTGAGGTCCCGGGGGCCTCGGGGTGAATTCGGGTGGTTGAACGAGAGTTTTGAGGAGTGTTGCAGGTCTGTGCTGCTGTCATCTGATATTTCCGCTTCTGCGGAGCGGGTGAGCGAGCGCAGAAATGGTCAGGCCTGGGTTAGGGAATTTTTGCAAAAGCGGAAGGATGGTCGCTTCAGCGGGTCCGCATAAGCGGATATTTTACCGCAGAAGCGGTTGTTGAGAGAACCGCAGAAGCGCATCTGGAGTCGCATAAGCGAAAAGGGCGGTTTTAATGAAAACCGCTTAAGCGGACTTCTGACCGCAGAAGCGGTCCCGCATAAGCGGAAGCGGGACCGCAGAAGCGAAAAACAACTATTTCAGAAGGGTTCAAAATATTAAATTTCATCGGCGAACAAGAGTTGGTTTCCACCATTTTTAAGCGGTTTTGAGAGCTTTGAGCGAGAATTTTCGAGGGCTTTGACTGAGAATCAATTGGAGGTAAGTTCCTTGGTCTAAATATTCGACTTTATGGTAGAAATTACATGTAAATTGTGGAAAATTTATCAAAAACGGGTCAAGCTAGGGCTTGAAAAGTTGTGATGTAAAAACGGATTTTGAAAGGGCATTTGAACTCCGATTTTGGTAAAATTGGTATGTGTATACTCGTGGCGAGACGAGTAATCCAGTGATGTAAATTTCGTAATTTTTCGAGAAGTGGGCCCGGGGCTCGGGTTTTGACAACTTAGTGAATTTTGGTTTTTTTTTTCGAGTCTTTTCGATTGGGTTATGTTTCTTTAGACTATTGTAATGTATTCGTTGTGGTTTTAATCAGATTCGGCGTGCGAAGAGGTTGATTCGAAAGGCAAAGGCATAGCGAGCTAGACTTGTGGCCGGCTTGAGGTGAGTAATAGATGTAGATGATGACCTGAGGGTTTGGAACCCCGGTATATCACATTGTGATGCTATATTAAGGCGAGACACGTACTCTATGACGAGTGCGGGGTCGATTGTGACTGGGGATTGTGACCTAGTCCGTTCCGATTGATGTTCGTACTGTGTTCTTGACTAGAACTTGTTTGGTAATCATCCTACTTGGATTTTATGAATATGTTTGGGGCTTTGTGCCTATCATTTGCATCCTTCAGGGATCCTTATCACTGCTTCCATGATGCTTAGCATATTTCATGATATCAGTCCTGAGTTAGACACTGCCTCAAAATGTTTAGTAAATAAATAAAGGTTTAAGCACTTAGCTCTATAATTCTTAATAATAGAAACTAAAAATGAACAATTTGACTGTGCTCGAGTGGCTTGCATGCATATATATATCTGGACTGAGTGTGGATCGGGCTGCACGCCGCAGCGAATGCTACGATGATATTGCGCTTGGGCTGTAAGAGCCCCTCCGGAGTCTGAACCCCCACAATGAGCGCGCGTACCCAAATGGATCGGGCTGCGCGCCGCAGCGGTCATGTGCATTGCATTGCATTCATGCATTATTACCTATTTGTCTTACTTGTCCTGGTATTGTTGTTGTTCCACCGTTTAATATGCTGAATCGCTGATTATAGCTTTATATTGTAATATTTCGGAATTTCTTACTTTCAGCCATTATATATGTTTATTACTAGCTGAGTTGGAAGTACTCACTTTACTCCCTGCACCATGTGTGCAGATTCAGGTGCTCCGGAGACTTAGTGGAGCTGTTTGCTGTCTTCTTGGATTTTATCTTCAGGAGTTGTCGAGGTAGCTGCCTGACGTCCGCAGCATATTCTAGACTTCTTTATCACTATGGATATGTATTACTCTATTACATCTAGAGGCTTTAGACTCGTGACTCCAGATCTATTGGGGAATGTTTGTAATATTCGTTATTATTTTTCGTACTATTTTATTTAGATTCGGATTGGAACCTTGGCATTTGCTATTTTAATCGTATTATTGGTTAACGGATTACGTATTTGGGTTGAGAGTATTTAATTGGTCGGGCTTGCCAAGCACCGGTGTTGGGCGCCATCACGACCGGGATTGGGGTCGTGACAACAAGCCATGGCCAATTCATTATTTCTGAACACTTTAAACATCCCCCCTGGAATTCTCACAATAACATGAATAAACATGTTATCTTCCTCCTCTCTATCCCATGTGCCAATTGACTCTGAGCCTTTCAACAAAATTTGTCTTAGTTTGTTCCTAAATCATTATATTTGGGTTGGTGAATAAGATGAAAGGACAGAGGAGGATTATCAGTCATTTCCCTTGCTTGCTGATGAGGTAAAATTGGAGAGGTCAGGGCACTTCATGCCAACTTTTTCAGTTGCTCCAGAATTTAATGGAAATAAGTATGGTGTGCTCTACTTCCTAAGTGCTAACAACCGTTAGTAAATAAACCAATACTCCATCAAAGGTAGTAAGACAATGGGTTAATCTCTCCTTTACCCTTCTCCCTGTCTCGTGGAATAACATAGTGTGAGAAAAGCATAGTTTGTTTGAGCATGAATTCATTTTGGAGAGAAAAAACAAAAAGATTGACCCTAACCTGGAATATGGGTGCATCCGCATCTTTATTCACAGCAACAATGACCTTGGAATCTCTCATGCCTGCTATGTGTTGAATCGCCCCAGAAACCCCAAAAGCCATATACAATTCTGGGGCAACAATTTTTCCAGTCTGGCCAACCTGAAATCGAAAAGGAAAAACAAAAACTGTATTTGAAAAAGCTGACTAATATGAAAAAACTGACCAACTGTAATTATTCAATCACTTAAAGCATCAACAAGAAAAGTCAAATGAAACTATTCCAAGTATTTTTACTTGCACACCATTTTAGGGTTGACTCATTATACCATAAACATAAACTTTCTTAGACAAAAGCAAAGATAACAGGTTACAACATATGTGAAAATCCAGTTTAACGTTTTTAAAGGCACAGATTTCACTCAAAGCAATGATATTTCTAGTGTTACCTGGAGGTCATTGGGAACAAATCCAGCATCAACTGCAGCACGAGTGGCACCAACTGTGCAAGAGAGAAGTAAACCAATTTAATTAACAAACTAAAAGCAGGTAGAAATAAAACTGCTTCCTATGCAGATCACCACTATGAAATGAAAAGTAATTCTAGATATGAATTCATAAAAGACAGATTGATTGAGACTAAAGAAGTTGCACGAAAAAGAGCAAAATAATGGGAGTGCACAAACCTGCAGCACCTATTTTTTCCGCGAGCTTATCTATCATTTTGAAGTTCTCAGCACTCTTTACACCTCGTCCCCCGGTAACTACAATACGTGCATTTCCAAGATCCGGGCGTTCCACATTTTGGGAGGAAAGCTTTATATATCTTGATTTACCAACTGAATCATCTGTAAAACAAATTATCTCGCTTCAGGTTTCAACATACTCAAGTTTCCTTCTTTTTTTCTTTTTTTTCTTCTTTTGATAAGGTAAGGTAAATCAACCTACTCAAGTTTCTTCACAAGAGATTCAAAGACAATATCAAAATCAACAAGATTGGAATAAAACTGCCATATCTTGGTTATGGCAGAAGATATAGGCTCAGATCATAACTGACAGACCTTCATCCAAGGTTGAAAGATCAACTTGATCTATTGAGGCGGCATCAGATTTCGAATCAGCTGGTAATGAAGCAACGGGAAAAGATGTAGCTCTAATGCTCAACATACATGGGCTGGAACCTGTGTAACGAACTGTAGAAAGAGCATTTCCTGCATATATTGGCCTGTGACATCAAAGACAATCCAATTAAAACCAACATAGCTTATAGCTTAGCTAAGAAGGCAGAAACAATGCTGTAGTCTGGACTGAAAAACCAGATCTCATCTTGTAGCGGGATGTGCTATAGTTCCTATATATCTTTCAAAATAACTCTGATGAGTTGGCAATTTTATGGCAAGTTATCATATCTAAGAGAGAGCCAGAAAACAATTGCTCTCAAACTAGGTATACACAAAATGTTCAATTGTAAAAGACAAGGGTATTTCTTCACTGTCATCAGATGACCGTTCAATATAATGATCATACTCATGCAACAAGATATACTAGGAATCTGATGTATCACCAAACCTAATAATAGGTAAAGCTTTTCACTCAACCAGAGAGCTGGTAATGCCAACCTCTCAATTTCACCCATCACTCGAAACAGGAAAGAGTTGGAAAATATCACTTGAAGTGCTCACTATCTACAAGAAAATCTATATTTATTGTAGTTTGATAAGGGAACCACTAAAGAAATCACCTAATAAAGAGGTTTGATCCAGATATCTTAGTGACATCAGTAATTGGAGAAATGTCCAGAAGGGCTGCTGCACGCGGTAATACATTTTTCCCAAATGAACCTGATGCAGCCATTATGTGTGAGTAGCCACCTCTCTGCTGAACCAGATGGACTAATTTGGCCCATGGTTCAGCCAAAGGATAAGTAAATTTGTCAGAATCAGCAATAAGGACCTAGAAAACAAAAACCAAAAACAACATGAGAAAAATAATGGAGTTGCATTATCAAAAAAAAAAAAAAAATAATGGAGTTCCATTGATTGGATTCATTGGAGCCTTTTATCTCCCTCTATGTGCTAAATCCTGAATGCTTTAACTAATTTAAATGCTAGTTACGGCATTTTTGTCTCAATGGTCTAACAGAATGCTTGGATTAAGTCAATTAGCAACTCTCATGTAAATCACATGGAAGCTTAAAAATGAAATTCTAAACAAGAGATAAGCATTATTTTGCAGCAGCAAGCATGACCTGTCGATAACAATCATATGATATCTATGTGTTTAATTTGGAGAAAACCAATACAATTAGAGAGATATTGTATATAACAAGTAACCTTTAGATAGTCTTTCTTTTAATGATTGTGGAGCATGGTCAAGCTTGCACACACCTCGACTATTCCACCGGGTATCTGCTACCTCCCATCAGCATAGGCACGGGGTAACTCTGCCTACCAAGGCTTAGGCAGATGGGAAGAAATCACCCAATGTTTTTGTCTCCGCCGAGATTCGAACCTGAAATTTCATAGTTCTCCTCCCACTTCATTGACCCTAGACCACTCTCTTGGATGCTAAATTTTGGATACTCTTGACAAGATCATCTATCATCCTTCCTGGATTTTGTTCCATGGCATGCTTTCCGAATTTCAGTTAAAGTCAATTGAATGTATCATTTCCAAGCAATTCAGATAATATTTTTTTCCAATACATAAGAAAACTGTATTCTGTGATCACTCTATCCACAAGTGTCCAACCGCTCCTCAGATTTTAGGTTTACCGTATCTTAAACCATTCAAAGGAAAGGAAACCACATGTAAAGACTCGAGAATGTGCTTATCTATGCAAGCATCAGAAAAATTCACTGGCCCTTGAATTTCCAAACATCTTTTGTGATTTTAGTCCAAAAATATTATCCTCTCTTTCCTCCTCCGTTGGAAGATAATTCTCTCTCTGTAACAAAGTAAACATGTCTAAAGGTGTATCATACAATCACTAAAGCATGTCAAATAGAATACAACTACTCCTCTTTCACGTTGAACTAGGGATGTCCTTGCTAAGATGTTATTTGAAAAGCAAACAAACTAAATAAGCATAAAGTTAGTATTCCCTGGGCAACAGGCTGAAACAAAAACAGTACAGCATCCAAAAAGGAGCCACCTGAGAAATTGAAGGGTGGGATGAAGCAGCATGTGCCGCAGCTTCCTTAAGGGATTGACCGGATCCAGCAAGTAGCAACGATACAGAATTGTCCCCGCCTAAAGATTTTGCAGCCTCCACAGCACTTAATGATGAGATTTTGATTGATCCTCCTTCATGCTCAGCTAATACCAATGTACTAAGCTAAACATTCAAGACAGCAGAGGTGTAAATTTAAGCTCAATCAGAAGCAAAATTCGTCTATTATAGAACCATAATTCAAGCTCAAATTTTAAAGCATGGATTCGGGCTATATGATTATCAAACACAGAAGTTATTCAGAGATTCTCTTTTCTCCACGTTAAACAAGAAAACTACTAAACAACTTATCCTAAATTCATGTGAATCTCCAGAAACTAGTGAACCACAAAGTAGGTCTTAAAAAACAACAAAGCAGGTCTATATAATTACACCATTGAATCATAAGCAATAAAAATAGTTCCTTTAACTTCCGCATTTACTCCGAAAAAGAATTCGACCCACTTGCATTTGACTTTGACCCTTAGCCTAATAAAATCTATTGGATAAAGCTGCAATTGAGCTGTAGAACAAGGACACAGCTACAGTAATAGAAGAAATGGACGGCCTACCATACAACGAAAGACACGATTATAGTTGAAGAACTTATTTGGGTTCAGCTCTTTATTAAGTTGTTGTTGATTCGAGAAAATAAATCAGAAAGAGTAAGGATTGTTTCTGATAAAAATTGAAGAGTAAGAAGATTAAAAGGAAAAGGGCTTACAGGTCGATATGGGGTTATACGTGCAGTAATGGAGAGGTTTCTGAATGCGAAGAGCATCCTTCCACTGGCCATTTCATCAAACTGTGAGAATTCGCTTCCACTTTATGTTATTTTGGGTCAAATGTCGTGTCATTAAAATTAATTAAAGATTCAATAATAGTGGCGTGGCGTGGCGTGGCGTGGCGTGGCGTGGCGTGTTTATCTTTTTTCTTTTTCAGCGTGGCGTGGCTATCTATTCCAAATTTCCCATACCAAACCTACGATTGCCTGCTCCGCAGCAGCTCCTTTCTTGAGCATTAACTTCACGAACTGCCAACTTCTAAAAAAAAAGAATTAAGTTTATTGGGTTCTTCATAAATTATCGATAAAAGGGTCAAATTTATCAATTTACTTATTTATCCTTCAAATTTATCCTTACTATTATAACACATCTATATCTATCTATGTCTATATTATATTATTATAAAAGCACGAATAATTTAGGCTAAATATTGAACGACTAAAATATCCTTGAAACGTTGATCAACTTTATAACCTTAATCATTTGAATAATTTAAGAATATAATTATAACCAGACTGGTTTTTTTTTTCCATTTAAACATTGCACACAGTAATGCTACATAGTTAACAATAGATTGTGCTAGGGATTAGGTAGAACGCCCATCAATTATATGACAAAATATGCTAAATTAATAAATAATAATTGTTGACCTAAACTAGAGTTGAAGGATTGTGTATTTTGATTTCTTTTTTCTCGTGCACATTATTTTACTCTTTAATATCACGATTATTTTAATATAGGTGTGTCTATATATATGTTTGAGTAATATGTATGAATTTATTTTTAGATAATTAATAGAGCCAATAAAATATTGAAATTACTAGAATTGAAAAATTAGTTTACAAAATTGGTGAAATTTGTTAGTTTTCGTTTTGAATTCCACGTGAACGAAACAAAGGTTGGATTAGTTTTTTTCCCTAAAGTATTTTGAGTTTGGAATCCGAAATTAATAACGCATTTGTGATTAAAAAAAATTGAACCAATATACTAATATTTTTTATGAGGTTTAATTTCAAATCTAACGCTTAAGATATTCGTGCAACGCATGAGTGTAGAAACTAGTATTATATTAAAAGCATGAACCCCTTAAGTTAAAAGTTGAATTACTAAAATACACTTCTTATTTACCTAAATATTATACTTCCAAATATATTTAAGAATAATATATTAGCAATACCATTTAAATAGGAAAAAAGATGTTTTGATTTATGGCTTTAGGAAGACCATAACTTAAAAGTTAAATTACTTAAATGCCCTTTTAATTAGCCTAATTTTTTTTAAATTTGAGANCGCCGCAGCGGTCATATGCATTGCATTGCATTCATGCATTGGTTCCTGTTTGTACTACGTGTCATGACATTCAGCACTCTCATATCATTGGCATCCATGCTACTTCTTGTACTGCTTACCAGATGCCCTGGTGTTAATTGTTTGTGGAGTGCTGTGCCCGAGGGGCTGACTTATGTGCGGACTTGCACTATCTAATTACGCATTCATTTGCTTGACTGTTGGAAAAGAATGTTTTCTAAAAGAGGTTTAAACTGAGCTAGATATTTTCTTAAAGGATTTTCACGGTTTTACTGTTTTCTCAAAGAGTTGTACTATCCTATATAGCATGATGGAGTGCTCTTACGTGATTTCTTGCCTCTCAGTTATTATTTACTCTTATTACTCACTGAGTTGGAAGTACTCACTTTACTCCCTGCACCTCGCGTACAGTTGCAGGTATTGTTCACCCGGTAGCGGGTTATTAGCTGATTGAAGGTAGGGCTATTGTAGCTGAGCAAGGTGTCCTCCAGCGTTCGCGGCACCGGATGTTGTCTTGATTTTCCAGAATTTTTCTTTATATATTATTATTGGCCCTGTAGTTGTGTTCAGGTTTCTTTAGATGCTCGTGACTTGTGACACCCCGGTCGGGTTGTGTTGGGTTGTACATACTGGTTATTATTGTCGTTAAGCTATATTCACCTATTCGTTTATGTTTAATAAATGTTAAAGAGACGATTTGGGTTAGTTGGCAGGCCTTGTCTTCACGAGAGGCGCCATCACGACCGGGTTTGGAAATTGGGTCGTGACAAAGTGAAGACCGCATAAGCGGATTTTTGGCCGCGGAAGCGGGACCGCATGAGTGAAAAATCGTTGTTGACAGAAGGGTTTAAAATATTATATTTCATCCGCGAATAAGAGGTAGTTTCCACCATTTTTAAGCGACTTGGAGAGCTTTGGGCGAGGATTTTCGAGGGTTTTGACTGAGAATCAATTGGAGGTAAGTCTCTTGGCCTAATTATTCGAGTTTATGGTAGAAATTACATGTAAATTGTGGAAAATTCATCAAAAACGGGTCAAGCTAGGGCTTAGAAAGTTGTGATGTAAAAATGGATTTTGAAAGGGCATTTGAACTCCGATTTTGGTGAAATTGATATGTGTAGACTCGTGGCGAGATGAGGAATCCAGTGATATAAATTTCGTAATTTTTCAAGAAGTGGGCCCGGGGTTTCGGGTTTTGCCAACTTAGTGAATTTTTGGTATTTTTTTTCGAGTCTTTTCGATTGGGTTATGTTTCTTTAGCCTATTGTAATGTATTCGTTGTGGTTTTAATCAGATTCGGCGTGCGAAGAGGTTGATTCGAAAGGCAAAGGCATAGCGAGCTAGACTTGTGGCCGGCTTGAGGTGAGTAATAGATGTAGATGATGACCTGAGGGTTTGAAACCCCGGTATACACATTGTGACGCTATATTGAGGCGAGACACGTACTCTATGACGAGTGCGGGGTCGATTGTGACTGGGGATTGTGACCTAGTCCGTTCCGATTGATGTTCATACTGTGTTCTTGACTAGAAATTGTTTGGTAATCATCCTACTTGGATTTTATGAATATGTTTGGGGCTTTGTGCCTATCATTTGCATCCTTCAGGGATCCTTATCACTGCTTCCATGATGCTTAGCATATTTCATGATATCAGTCCTGAGTTAGACACTGCCTCAAAATGTTTAGTAAATAAATAAAGGTTTAAGCACTTAGCTCTATAATTCTTAATAATAGAAACTAAACATGAACAATTTGACTGTGCCCGAGTGGCTTACATGCATATATATATCTGGACTGAGTATGGATCGGGCTGCACGCCGCAGCGAATGTTACGATGATATTGCACTTGGGCTGTAGGAGTCCCTCTGGAGTCTGAACCCCCACAGTGAGCGCGGGTACCCAAATGGATCGGGCTGCGCGCCGCAGCGGTCATGTGCATTGCATTGCATTCATGCATTTATACCTATTTGTCTTACTTGTCCTGGTATTGTTGTTGTTCCACCGTTTAATGTGCTGAATCGCTGATTATAGCTTTATATTGTAATATTTCGGAATTTCTTACTTTCAGCCATTATATATGTTTATTACTCACTGAGTTGGAAGTACTCACTTTACTCCCTGCACCATGTGTGCAGATTCAGGTGCTCCGGAGACTTAGTGGAGCTGTTTGCTGTCTTCTTGGATTTTATCTTCAGGAGTTGTCGAGGTAGCTGCCTGACGTCCGCAGGACCCGACTCCTCCCCTTTAATTCATTTTCATACTCTAGACTTCTTTATCACTATGGATATATATATATTACTCTATTACATCTAGGGGCTCTAGACTCGTGACTCCAGATCTATTGGGGAATGTTTGGAATACTCGTTATTATTTTTCGTACTATATTATTTAGATTCGGATTGGAACCTTGACATTTGCTATTTTAATCGTATTATTTGTTAACGGATTACGTAATTGGGTTGATTGGTCGGGCTTGCCTAGCATCAGTGTTGGGCGCCATCACGACCGGGAATGGGGTCGTGACATAGGGTCGGGCCCAAATAATTATACCTTCTCCTACGCGAAAAAGGACAAGTTTCTAGGCCTGGACGTCCCCGGCCGCGGTCCGGGCGCGGTACTTTGCAAGGCTACTGTTTAAGTTCGCGTCAAGTCCGCGGTCGCGGTTTCAACCGCGTTTTTGACCCTGTTCCATTTTGAATTTGGAAAAACGTAAGACATGAAAGTTGTAGCCCTTTGAGTTAGATTTCCAACCATATATTCTGAGTGAAAAGTTATGTGCATTTTACTAGACAGTGTGCAATATGCCTACTCGATTCTTCGTTTTGTTGCTCTATCATCCGTTGATCCCCGAATACGATCCCGCCTTAATTTCTTGGGATTTTACTCAGACTTCAAAGCTCTAAATCACTTGAATTCATTCCATAACATCTATATAGTTCGGAATCACTCCTACAAGGCATAAAACACACTGTTAGTGCAAAACACTAGCGATTAAAGTGCAAACTCAACTAAAGTGCAGTAAATTAGAGTGTAATAATAAACTAAAATACGTAATTATAGCCTATCGTCACCTACTATTGATAATCTAAACCTAAATGAAATCCTCAACCTAATTAAACAAAGAAAAAGACACAATGTAAGTAAAGCATTACTATAAACTAAGAAAAATCTATTCTGGTCTAGAATCCTAAACCTAAACGAAACAAAAAATGTACAAAAAAATACGGAAAGAATCCTAAACAAAGTAAAATCTAAAGAATCATAAACCAAAAGGAAAGCACACGCTATTATATTTTATCCTAAAAAAAAAAATTAATTACTACAATTACAATTATATCCAATGTAGAATTTACTGACCAAGGGTAAAAAAACGATCAACATTTCGATAGGGTCTTCATGCTTTTAACATAGATATGGATCTTATTAGCGAAATGATTTGGATTTGTATTATTAGTTAGGATATAGCATGAATCTCTCGCATTTTATTCTACTACTAGCTAATCAAACACGTGATTTAGGAAATGCAGTTGATATCAAATGAAGAGGATTTTATATTTGGAAAAAATAAATAACAAATATATAATGTAAGACATAGCAAAATAATTTTAAATCAAATATAGAAGGAAAAATAAAATAAAATTTTCAAATAATTAAAGTACCACATTTTTTTGTACTCTTATCATGACAAAGTTCTCAAGGAACAATCCACTTAATTAGAGAAGATAAATTAATTAATGTTCAATTTTGCAATTATGAATATTCACTAGTAATTATATTTAGAGGTCAATAATGTTATTCACAATAAGAAAATGAGAAACAATAGTGGCGAAAGACCTAAGAAGAAAGTGGAAGAAACTCATATTTTTTCGCTCCTGAAACTTGTAAGAATAAGAAGTAAAAGCACACAGCGATGAAATCATGAAGGGGCCTATGTTCTTTTCAATAGTTTTGCAAAATTAAAGAGTAGAGGATGTAAAACGAAGGACACAGATAATTAACATTTATTTTCCTACAAATACTTAACAGTGCCCCAACAACTATATATATATGTCGGAAAGAAAGGCTACGCGTACGGGAGGGGATACAATGTGCCTGCACATTCACAAATAAATTAAATAAGTAAAAAAGATTCAAAATCCTAAAAATGATCAATTAGTCAATTATTTTAGAAGTAGAAATGCTAAATCACTAAAAAACACTGAAGGTACGTAGGAAAAGCAAGTTGTTGCTTCAAATTTGCCAAATAGTGATGCTGCATCTTTTGCAAGAGCAAGTGCACGTAATATATATATCATCCCTATTTAGTGTACTCTCTCTTCACAAGCTTCATTCTCTCAATTTTAACAGCATCACAAATCCGTATCTGAGTGGGCAATTTTGATGGGTTGATTGAAAGTTGAGGAATGGAGTATGATCGAAGAGAAACTGTTGGTTTGGAATTTTAATTGTCCCCTTTATTTCAATAGTTGTAAATTAGCTGTTATATATATATATATATATATAGGCATTTCCGTTAACGGTTGCATTGTTTATCTTGGAAGGTTTTAAAAAATTTAAGAGCAAAAGGCAAATAAAAGATAAATGTCCTTTCAAGTGCCATATAATATTTTCCTGATCATTACAATATTGCAGCTACGTTTAATGCATATGTTGCTACAAGCAACGCATAAAAGTGTAGAGAAGGAGGAAGTTGAACTACTATCCAATACCAATATTTGAGGGTACGATAAAAAGCTAAGACACTCTAAAACGTCATATCACTAAACTACATAATTTAAACTTATTATTGTCGAATGTGTGAGTCTTAGAGGAAGAGAACTAAAGTAACAGGAAGTTGAACTACTATGCAATACTAAAATCTAATGGTACAATGCAAATATATCTAGTACAATCTAAACTCCATAACACTAAACTATATATAAATAACATTTATGGATAACATATAAAGTGTTTTAGAATCTTAACATAATGTTTACATCCTTAGTTATTGATTTGGAAGAAAAATTAGACCAGAATATTCACACAATTAGTTACGAATTGTGGAAAAGCATAATATTGAAGAGAAGCTTTGGACCGTACCTCAATCTCTTTACGACGTTTTGGCAGCCCAATCCTTGGTTGTCCACACCTATACAATAAGATTAGGATGTAAATAGTTTTAGAGAGTCCATTACTCAAATGGCCACTCAATTATCCCAAATTATCTCCTAAAGTCACTTTACTTTCGGTTGTAACAACAAAGTCACTGAACTATGCCTATTGCACTCAGAAGGTCACTGAACTAGATTTTCCAAATTTTGGATTGTCAAATACCTATTTTACCCTCTAAATTATAAACATTTATCTTTTTTTTTATAATGTTATGATATTCCCTTTTTAATTTATATTATGGACTTACCTATAGAATAAATAAATATTATTTATAAATTAAAAAATAAAAAGTATTTAAGTATATATAATGATGGAATAACAAAATAATGAGCATAGTAAAAAAAAATAATTAGAATAATTTGTTAGTAATAATAATTTTAGTATTAACAACAAAAATTCAAAAATTTATTTACACAATTCAGAATGAAAGAAAATAAAGATTGTAAAATATATATTCCATGCACGTAATATAAAAATAATTATTTAATTTAAGGTATTTTTATAGTATACATTATATATTCTTGAAAATTATGCTCAATTATATTATTATGTTTCTACCAACTTTCCGACGACACAAAGTTATGTCACCAGAAAGCAGGGGGACTATCTGTATATGGTAAAATATGTTAAGTCATGCATGGAATATATATAATATAATTGAGCAAAATTTTCAAGAATATATAATGTATATTATAAAATAATTTTATTTAAATAATTATTTTATATTACGTGCATGGAATATATATATATTTTACACCTTTATTTTCATTCATTCTTAGTTGTGTAAATAAATTTTTGAATTTCTGTTGTTAATACTAAAATTATTATTACTCAAATTATTTTAATTATTTTTTTTACTATGGTCATTATTTTGTTATCCAGCATTATAGGTGCTTAAATACTTTTTATTTTTTTTAATTTATAAATAATATTTATTTATTCTTTAGATAAGTCCATAATATAAATTAAAAAGAGGAAATCATAATATTAAAAAGTTAAAACAAATAAAAGAAGATAAATATTTATAATTTAGAGGGTAAAATAGGTATTTGGCAATCCAAAATTTGGAAAATCTAGTTGGGTGACCTTCTGAGTGCAATGAGCATAGTTGAGTGACTTTTTTGTTACAAACGAAAGTAAAGTGACTTTAGAAGATAATTTGGGATAATTGAGTGACCATAAAATTAATGATACAGATTAACTTTGAAAGTATTACAAACCCTTGGCGAGAAATATATAGTTTTTTCCCCATAGACTTCGTTGGCGTGAAGGTAGCATATGGTGAGAAAAAATGTGTATAGGTTAGTAGATAAAGGGGATTTTTCCTTTCCCGTAAAAACATAAAAATAACAAAGAAGGTACAGAGGGTTGAGTTTGGAGAATTTGAATAGAGGTTAGGTAACGGAATTTGCAGGAGGAAAAACAGAGAAGAAAGATAAGTAGGGAAAGAGAAGAGAAGAATCGTTGTGGCCTGTGGGAAGAAAGCGATTGTGAATGCGAAGCGGTGTGGCGTGAGGAGTCTTTTTGTTGTGGGTTGTCAATTTTTAGCTTTTAAAGTGGTGAAGGTAATGGTTTTAAAAGTGAAAAAACGTATTTCCTGCCTAATGCCAGTGCCACGTAACCGGTCAAAGGACCAGATAGATATTAGTGAGCATGATTAATTATCTCACCAAAAATATAATAAAATTGAAAAGGCGCGCCTTTTTAATAAAAAAAAAAAAAGGGTGTTGGCTTAATTTTAAGAAATTCGGGCAGAAATTATTTATGAAGAGTATTTACAGGTAAGAAGTTGAAAACGTCTTCCCCAAGTTTGAGATAACTTTTGCGATAGCGTTGACCCCGTGCTCTCCAAGGCACTGGTCAATAGATCGAGTCAATGAATTGCAACTTGAACTAAATTGGAGTGATGGGTTCTTCACTTCTTCTATATTTTTTGTCCGTTTTTTGGGTAATTTGCTGTTTTAATACGCCATCCATAATATATTGCTCTTAATTTATATAACGGTATTAGTATTTCGAGAGTCAAACGAACTTTTCATTGACTTTAACTTTTTATATGCCATTAAATATTTTGAATTAATAATATCATGATGTTTTTGAATATGTAAAGTTTATTTTGAAAAACTTAAAGAGTCTGTCAAAATACACGATAAAAACTAAAAAAAATTAAATCTCAAAAAGCGAATAATATCACATTATTATACAGTAGCTCCCTATTTGTTTCAGCAACTTACACGTAAACAGTGTAAAAATTGCACGGGGCGCCCTATTTGGTCGCCCCCATTTAACCTATACACATTTTTTTTTTAAACTTTTAACTTGTACCCACTTCTTAAATAACTTCAGCTCCCTTTCTCCTCCTTCTTCTTCTCCTTCGTTTTCTTCTTCTGAAACTGGAACTACTCTCAGCAATTTCCTCTGGCCCAAAAAATTACCAGAAGAAATGGTGTGGAAGTCCAACGCAGAGGCTCTTCGAATTTGATATTGTTTTCTGAGTTGTTGATAGTTTTGTGAATCAATATCTTTGACTGGTCGCGGTCGCGGAGGTAGTGTTGGTTTTGAAATTACTTGCTTGAGCTGCAGCATTTCCTATCTTTCAGCTTCAGCACGTCTACTTTCCTGTCCAACCAAACAATCTCTTCCTCCGCCATAACCACTTCTTCAAGCAGATGTTGAACCTACATATATAATTTCTTTTTATATTATGGAATGTTCTGTCAGTCAGTGTATATAATTAAAAAAAAAAGATAGAGTTAAATCAAGCAAGAGAAGCAAATCCAACGGCTTCATATAAGAGTTAATTTTATCCAAGCTTCAGCTCTAGAGCTGAAGTTTGAGCTGAAGTTTTTTTGTTGTAGAGCTGAAGTTTCCCAGTTACAACACAAAAAACTTCCGAGTTACAACACAAAAAACTTCAGCTCTAGAGCTGAAGTTTCCCAGTTACAACACAAAACTTCAGCTCTAGAGCTGAAGTTTTCCAGTTACAACACAAAAACTTCAGCTCTAGAGCTAATGTTTCCCGGTTACAACACAAAATCTTGATTTCTGGAAGAGAAGTAACGTTGTAATTACTCGCGCTGCTTTGATTCTTCGACATAGGTTTGTCTAACCATACAAATCCACGCATTTTATTTGGCTTCCACCATAATTTTACGTACTCTTTTCTATAATTCCATGTAGTACGTGACGATCCAATGCCAAAAACAATATGGTGGAGCTGAGTTTTTTCAGGGGTTTGGATAGTGTTTGACTGGTTTTCTTCGTTAAATCTAATAAAAATACCAAAAGTGGGTGGACGTGAATTAGAGAGTAAAAAACCTATAAAAGACAAAAGAAAAAGATGAAGGTGATCATGATTCTGGGAAGTACTCTAGAGCTGAAGTTTTCCAGTGAAGTTTCACAGTTACAACACAAAAACTTCAGCTCTAGAGCTGAAGTTTCCCAGTTACAAAATAAAAACTTCAGCTCTAGAGCTGAACTTCAGGCCCGGCTACTAGAATGCTGAAGTTTTGCGTGATTGCCTTTGCTACTTCAGCCCCGTGTGCTGAAGTTATGCGAAAAAGCGGGTACGCTTGCAATTTTTTTTGCAAAGCGGGCACAAGTTAAAATGTGACACAAAAAGCGGGTATAGATGCAAATGCCCCGTAAACGTACGTTGCTATTTATCTCGGCAACTTACATGCACGTAATTTTTTCCCGACTAACATGTATATAACAATTTAAGTGCTAAGTTGAAGTAGTATATAAAGTAAAAGGTTAAGAAATACTTATAAGAAAAATATATTCCGCCTATAATTGAGAAATGTCATTGGGCCATTTCCGGACAACCAAATAATCAAATTCTACAAATTTTTCAGATTATGAATAAGACCATCACCAGCAATAAAGTCAATGAACCTTACTCCTGACCCAGTTTTCAACTAGGGGCGAGGATACATGTCTTAAAGGGTGGTCAACTCATCGGAAAATTACACTGCATATATAGATAAAATATTAGGTTAGTGTTATAAAACAATAAAAGAACAAGAACAATATTGAAGAGAGAAAGAGAGAGAGAATTCTTATTGAATTTTGGGATGAATTACAATGGAATAGAATCCTCTATTTCTAGGGAGAGGGTGACTTAGCCACCAAGTAATAAACCCTAGAATCTCTCTAAATATAGACATTCACCATAAATAAAATTCTATTTATAACACTCCCCCTTGAATGTCTATTCAACAGATAATGTGCCTCGTTAAAACCTTAACTAAAATAAAACCCAGTGGGAAAAAATTCTAGAGAAGGAAAAAGAGTACACATATCTAACAATGCGCCTTTTAGTTGCCTCGTTAAAAACCTTGCAAGGAAAACCCAGTGGGACAAAACCTTATAAGGGAAAAAGAGTACAACGCGTATTAACTCCCCCTGATGAGAGCATCAATTCACATCTTTAAGCATTTGATGAACAAATCAGCCATATTAATTTGAATGAATATATTGCACTTTGAAATCATCATTCTTGATAGAGATGAATTGTCTTCATATGATCTTGTTGGAATCGTCAGTTCAATATCTTCACATAGAGGTGAAAACTCTTGGTATCATATTATGACGCCTATAGTTATAGCAAGATATATTTGTGCACAAATTGCACTAAGGAAGTGGTACTTCAAGATCAAGAATTGTATATGCTTCGAGCAACTTAAATCCGTCATGGTTTGTCATATAAGTTAAGTCATATAAGCCATATAGTAGACTTTAGATGCATATCAAGTTTTCATGTCATGCTAGACAAATAAGATATCGAAAACTGATTGCACTTATCATTGGCTTCATAGTTTCAAGTGTTTGAACTGAAGGTCCAAAACTATATGTCTTTCGTATGAAACAAATTCTATTCAAATTGTATCTCTTTCATTTGGCCAATTTTTTTTTGTGTCTATATTCGACAGACTTAAGATCCTCATCTATACTTAGCGCTAACATAGATGCCGTCGACAAACATTTTATATCGGTTCCAGCTTTATTTTCATAAAGACATGACATAGAGATCTCTTCATTCATATTTTCAGGTACCTGAATCTCTCCTGAGATTTTATGAAGTGTTATGTCATGTGATCTTCTAGATCACTTGCCTTCTTATTATGATCATTTGCTCATCTTCTATATTAAGAAGTTTATTTGAAACCGATTTGTCTATATCCTTTAAGCGTACCATAGACGTTGTCCTTCTAGGACTTAATAAGAGCATTTGCAATGAGAATATAGTTACTTTCTTTGGGTTAGAAAATACGTCTGGCATGCTTTGCAATATATTGCACATGAATTATCCTTTTATGAACTTCAAGTTCATATTATTTTATTCGAGGATCTAGATGTACACATGATAATTCATTCCACGTAACTTTTTCTCAGCTGTTTATCATGTCCCCCTCATGTTAGAAAAACTAGCTTGTTTCCTCAACTTTGAGAACCCATCTTTGTGCGTTATGGTCTTAATCAAAATATACACCGCACATCAATAATAATAAGATGGAATTGGTTCCTAACCCTGAACCACTTGTGAGGGGGAGAATGCAATATACTTTCGTATATAACCTATATCAAACTGATATAGATAACTTTGTTCTCATAAGCAATAGTTTAGCTATTAAGTGGAGGCACTCAATAAATTATTTTGCTAAACCAACTGTGATGTAAACCAACTTATCAAGATGAACTATCTTGAGTTAAAATTCTGGAAATTATGCTCTAAATTAAATTATTGAGCAAGTTACCTCGCAAACACTATGTTGCAGGTCAATAATAATCGCACATGTAACCATCTCATAGATGCATCCTATGTGGTATACATAGCAGATGAATGGGCCCATATTCACCTTTGATATTTCCAGCATTCATGTGATTCAATCCCAATTTTAGTTGGTCAATTAATTAATGAGAACAAGCAATATAAGAGAATTCGTAAAGAACATTCTAGTTCTTTAATATTTACCCATGTGAATTCTCTATTATTTTTGCACATCATACTTAAATTGATATGGCTAAACCAATTATGCCAACTGAATAAATTATCAACATTGATAAACTTCAGGTTTACACCATGACGTGTGCAATCATCAATAAACTCCAAGTATTATGATATGGGTTTTTATGTCAATAAACATCCACTTTAGTGTGGTACTCTTTTATTTGTCTATAGTACAAACTGGAAAATAAAGCGGGTAACTTTTCACATACATATTACCTTCTACAAGTTGTAGTAATAGAAGATATTAAATCTTTCCTTTATTTATAGTCTCAGTATGACCAACCGCTTTCGCGAATACTTTAGAAACTCAATAAGTTTCGTTGAGACTTACTACAACACAACGTCATATTGATAATCAATTTTCTCCAAAATAGTATAATTGGCTCTTCTAGAGCTCTCAATTAATTTTGTACTACCACGTATTCATCAACATCCATATGGTGAGTATCTCTTTTAAAGAGAAAGTTATACCATTATAGTCTTGGTCAAAATTATATGCAAGATCTGTTTCTTGCATTACTGTTATTCTTTAATAATCACATT